ATATGTTATATACAGAGAAGTTTGGCAAATTAATATACCTTGTGGAAATRATACTTTGGGGATGCTTTTGATTTATAGCATAGCCTAGAATTAACAAAAAGACTTCTTAAGGCTCAGCAAAGCTATCTGCTTATGAAGAGTGGATTTCAGGAGAAAAGTAAATGTAAAGAATATGCTGAAGTTGCATATATTTAAAKAATATGCTGGCTGCTACAATGCAACCAGTTTTCTGTACAGGGTATTTCCTTTAGCTGGGTTACTGCACAAGYGGTTGCCTCCATTTCTACAGAAAGTTTTTTATTTTTACCATGCAAGATTATTGTACTTATCTGCTCCTAGAAAATATGCACTGTATAAACATATTCTTTATCTTGAACTTCAGTATTTCTGTGCTTCCACGAAGAGTAAAAACATCTGGCTAAATTACTACGCTCGGCGCTAGAGCAATATGCAGGCAAACYCCTGTATGAGCTGCATCTAAAATAAACCACGGTTTCAATCCTTTGGGGTTTTTTTATTTTTTATTTTTTTACAAAGGTTTGCTGTCTCTCCGATGCATGTCGATACAATGGTGACTAATGTAGCGAACTGCTTTTCCGAATAAAATCGAATCCTGTTCTTGTTTGACAGCTCCCCATGTTTTAAAGTGCAATTYTGTGCTGTGTGTTCCCCGCGTCCCCACCAAGGCCCCCCAAACTGGAATGGCACAAAGTGACTCGCGCCAGCGGTGATGGCTCCAAGGGAGTGGCTGGACGGAGTTGTCATGTGTCTGCCTGTCTACACTTGCTGTGCAGAACATCCTCTCACCTGTACAGCAGGCACAGACAGGCAGTCACATGACAACCCAGCCTGAGTGACAGCCAGCCCGTGGGAAACAGCTCTGACACCAGAGCATCTTCACCAAGAGCTACAGCCAGGAGTCACTCTGCATCTCAGACTGCCGGCCAGTAACCAAGTCGTGTGTTGCAACCCACCTAGAGTCAAGCGAGCAGTGCCTATAAAATCCAATAAAACCCACTGATGAAATTTTTACTGTGCTTCCTATAGTACTCTGTTCCTAGTTGTTCTGGTTAACTCGCTAACAAGAAGTTTTATTTGCACGCAGCTTTGTGGCACCATGGCAAATGGGAGGACAAAACACTTCTCACTTGTATCTTGAGCAACTTGCTTTTATAGATTATTGTCAGTATTAAAAACCGCCAATATCCCTGTTAGCCGCAGAAGCCCAGAGCAGCTCCGTGTGGCTGGTTAATCTTATGCACAGACAGATCATTAGATTTTAGAGTAATTTCTCCCTTTCCACCATCTCGCCTTCCCCCTAACTATTTACATTCCTCCATCCCAAGCCACGCAGAATTTTACAATTAGTACAGCGTGAATTAGCAACTGCGTCTGACACTGGGTGTTAGAACTTACTACTGAAACAAAATGGAAATACTTGACCTGGGAATAACAATAATTGGAATTTTTAAAATAAATGTAGATTTCCTGTTCTAGAAGTTCTTCTCCTGGACCCCAGCTCAGCATTCTCTGCACACCAGGAATGCCAGGGAGACCTCGGGCTGCTTTAGATTCATACAGCAACAAGACCACGTTCTCTGACTCTGTCTCCACAGAAAGGCCACAGAGCTTTACAAACACCGCTTGTTGTTTACAGTGAGGAGCTTTTTGAGTCACAAACTAGAGCGACGTTCCTCATTCGCAAAGCTCGTGTTATTTGCACGCAGCAGCTGCTAACACACAAACTTCAAACTTGCAGTTTGACTCTCCAATGCACGAACCTTAGCACAACATTTTGTAGCTCGTCACACTCATTAAAGTGGTAATAACCGAGACCTAAGGATGCTCATATTTAATTCTTTTTGCAAGCATGTCTTGTAGTACTCTAGCTAGCATGACATGAAACACCCTACCAAACAAAGCTGTATTTGCAAGCTGAATGGATACATTAATTTCGCACTTACAGCAGCCTCAAAGCTGTACACACCATTACTCGTGTTTATTTTTAAGCATGGTGAAAAAGCACAAAGACATGGTACTAGTCACGCAGCAGGATTATGAACACAAGTAACTATTTGAGGTTCAAAAACAAATTCAGATTAGCATTTATGTATCTGAAAATATAACTGCTTTACCCAGACTAATCAAGCATCAGTTTGATATTTCCACAATTACAAGACCAATAAGTGTTCTTAGCTGCTCATGCCCTTCTCATGAATAAAATCCTGCTGTATGTTTCAGCAGCAACACAATCATGCCAATAAGGAACAGAAGAAATTATTTAAGACCCGAAACCATACAACAAATTTCGAATTCTTTTGCCAACATAACTTGCTGCAGTATGCATTCCTCTGTGATTTCTTCACTAGAACAGCCATAACTCACAAGTAAAGGAAATAATTCACATCCTTCAAAAGGCACTAAGCCAGCAGCGACTCGCATTCACAGAGTGATTTGCATCTCCAAGGAAGTTGCAGCCTTCCCGAGATGGGTTCAGCTCACACAGAGGGGGTACACAGCAATAGGGGGTCCTAGCAAAGGTGGTCGCATCATACGCTCCATCCTGAAAGGGGCTCAGTGGTCTACAAGAAGCCACAGAAGCCCTCAGGGCAAATGTGGACACATGCTGGGCACCTTGTGGCTGCCCGGCTGCCGAGGACAGGCAAGGTGCTTCACCTCACCCGTCACTGATCACTGCGGATCTCACCAGGGCACAAGCACCACAGGGTACAGCCGCTTCGGGAACCAGCCGGCAGCGGGAGGTGACAAGTACCCAACCCAGCTGAAAGCAAGGAGAATATTTTAAGGAAATGCCACAAAATGCAAATTTACCCAAACTGGGATTCAGCCAGGAGACCACACATCTGCTTCTTGAGTTCAGAAGCAGGTAGTTCATTTGTGAAACAAGTCACTAATCTTTTGATTAGCCTAATGATCAAGCTGTGGCTACAATCATTTTCAGAAAAAGCATCTCAGACACATCTTCTTATTAAGACAGTTAACATACATAAATATATATCTCAACATAAAGCTGTGTGAACGCTTTCTCAATCCAGAAAAACCAAACTAGGCAGCACATCTGGTCCCGAGGATAAACTTTTCCAGGAGCAAATCATGGAACACTACTGGGCTGCTACCTTCTCCTGAGTGATCTCCCTTACGAGCCTCACACTAACTAGTATTTTCACAACTAACACAACTGACTGCTTGGCACTTAAGGCACATTATTTCAGGACAGACATATGGAGAGCAGATAGAGGCTAAGTCGCTCCATTTCTTTCACACTGTTTCAAGGTTCCTGAGCATTTTTTCTCCTAACAGACCATCAAAACCAAACTGCTTATTTTTAAATAGGCAGAGCTGAAGGCACCTCACAGGTATTGCCTGCATTTTTTTCTTCCTATTTCAATCACCCSCACCTGCCGAGTTCAAAACCTTCCAGGCCACATGGCAGGGGCATTTTTAAGGCCTTGAGATAAAACACAGCAAGAGGTGCACATTTCAATGCAACAGTTATACTTATTTATGTTTTTGATTATGTGCATTGTATTTAAGACACAGATCTACCATGAGTTAGCACTACCATGAGCTTATCAGAAAAATAAAGGTTGGCTTGAAATTTTCACAAACCTTCACAGTTCAGGCTGTTAATTTATTTTTCTATTTTTGTAATAAATGATCTTATGAGTATAAAACTTAACACTTAATTCCTTCTCTTTGACAGACGTTCACCTGTTAGAGGAAATATATTTGTGTCCCTTTAAATAAAAAGATTAATAAAAAAAAAAATGTAGTGCAGGACTTTCACTCCAGGGATCTAGAAAATTCCTAAGGGAAAAAGCTAATACAGTCTAAAGGAGTATGATTTGTCTGCACAGTCTCTGTTACCTAAATCCTTGTTTTCTTGCAGTTCAGTATTTTTATTGCAGTTCAGTATTTTGATTATTACTAAAAATAACCAGGAAAAAAGATGTGATATTTTAGAGTCTGTCAAAAACGGTCTTTTTCCTTGTCTCCCTTACATTCAATAAACCATTTGAGGTACTTTTTTTCTGAAAACATTGCATTAAAAAAAAAAAATCTGAAATGTTTTTGTTACTTTGAAAGCTCAATTCTTCTATGAAAACAAAAAGAAGCCTTTAAAAAAAAACCTGATAACGCACCAAATAACCCCATTTTATTCTTTAAAAGTTAAGACTAGAACTGCTGTTGAATTTGAAGCATAGAAGAACATTGCTATTATTTTTGAAAGAAAATGGCTGAGCAGAACAGACCAGAAGAAAAAAAAAATAATAATAAAAAAAAAGGGTTTCCAAAGCAATATACCCTAGCAATATATTCAGTTAAGTGATGAACCTGAATGGCCGGTTTGTTGTAGAACTTATATTCCTCACCGAGATATTTGTGATTAGCAGCAGTATCGCTTACCAAGGTGCATTTATGGGACTGCCAGTAGCAACTTGGAAATCTATATGGAGCTGGCTGCAGCAGTGGGCAGCCCCGCATCTCAGCTTCGCAGAAGGTGAAGCAGGAAAACAATTGTGATCATTAAATCAGTGGCTGTTGTAGTTCATAGCAGTAACTTTGCCTAGACAATTTATGGCCAGCTTATAGATGATCCAAGGGAAGTCCAAACAGGCACAAAACAATAACCAGAACATTTTAAAATTATTTTTTTCTCCCCCTCCTCTTTTTATTTTTTTTTCAGTCCTATGTGCGAAACCACAGGAAGGGAGGAAAAAGAAAAAAAAAACAAACCAAAAAGAAAAACCCCAAACTCTACACACCCTGTATTTATGTTTCCAACGTTCCTACAGACGTCTCAGAGGCTCAGTATCTCCATGAAACAAAAATAGAAAGTTGCAGAAACCTTCTCTCTGCGAGATCATTTAGTATTTCAACTTAACATCAGGACTGAATAAATACTGATAATTTCCAGTACACACAGGTTCTTCATAAATACTGATTATTTCAGTACACACGAGTTCTTCATTCCTTACCTCATCATCTTTATACCAGGACAGGCTTTCTGCGGTCAGAACAAACCAGTATTCTTTGGATCCTCCTTTCATGATTCCAATATTGTTGATGGTCAGCCAGCCTTTCCGGATGACCTGTGCAAAGGTGCGGTCGGGCACAAGTTTAGTTTGTTATTCATTTTACATTGTTTTTCTACTAAATTCATTCTTTCAATAAAGAATTTCTATATAAAATAAGAGGTGGTGCATTTTCTTCATTTCCTGCTAAGTTTGAAACAGTTTTCACTGGTTTCATTCATGGAAGAAAAATGTAACATACAGTAAAAACAGAGTTTTCAGATGAAAGAGATTGGAGGAAGAGAGAAGCCTAAGGATGACCATGTTGTATTTACAGAAAATATAAATGAGCAAAAAGATAATGTAACACTGAGGACATCTATTTGATGTATACTAACACATTGTAAGAGCCCATACAACATTACATGGGTCTAGTCCTACTGTTCTAGTCCAACCACTTTACCCATGGCAAAGATAACAGACAGCTAGTTTATACTGTAATCTGCATTTCATTTTTGCATTTCTTCTGATATTTCACCAATCCTTCCTTTGAGAAAAAAAAAAAAAAAGAATGAAAAAAGATATTTGCACACTTTCACAGCAAGGAACAGTTTTGATATTGGCAGTCTCTAAAACCCTCCTGGCTGCATCAGAATCAGCAAGCTCAGCCTGGACTGGTTCAGTACAGGTATCTGCAAGGGGTGATTAGTTTACATGAAGCCCTTAGAATAACTGTTGGAAGCTGGGACTGCATTCTGAGGATTTCCCTTTAGAGTCTTGCTCTGGTATTGAAAAAAAAAAAGAAAGAAAAAAAAAACCACTGCTGAGCATTCTAAGCATTTACTTTTACCTGCCATAATAGACTTCTGGCCTGATGGATGGACGTGGCTCCTAAGCCATGTTCTGTTCAAGCCATCTCAGACCAAATCCAAGCAACAAGCACTAGTCAGTGCTTGGAGCATTGCTGATGYGTACTGATCATCCCTTAAATTCTTRTTTTTAAACTTTATTTTATGCTGAAGGCCATATGTCCAGTGGCCTTCAGGYCATTTTTACTCGTAAGTTGTAAAACTAAACTAATTTCATTTTATTTMCACACTCAACTATATGAATACAGCCCTGTGTGTGGAAGCAATTGCAGGGAAAACCCAGGCAGGTAAGATTTTCCTACCACTYGAACCTAGCTTTAAGGTGGCTTTATAGCTGGCTCTATGCAACTCGAGCATTTCAAACAATCTTACAGCAAACATGCAAAGATGGTTATTCTCATGCTACAAAGAACCTGAAATTAGAGGCTACATAAAGGGATGCTGTTGGGCCATGCTGTCTACAGTGTAAAATGTTGTGAGCTTCATAGAAAGCAACACAACATGTACTGGAAGCAGAGGCAGTCAGACCAACATAATACTGAGAACTGGTTTGGACACAGATCTTAGAGAGGGAAAAGAGTTCACAGTGAGGATAAACTGGTGGGTTCTACAAGCAAACCAAGGAAAAATACCTGAAAAGCAGGTTCAAAATCCTTACAGGTCATAAATACTTTAAATGATAAGGGAAGTAGTTAACTGTGCATCCCATTCAGTGCTTTCCCTCATCATTAGCATAGGCTTTTCAGAAAGTTAATACAGTCAGTTTTCCTCATTTCCGCAAGGATGCATTTGCAGCAGTGGTTTCAGAGCAGACAAAGCTAATGTTTTAAAATCTAAACTATATAAGCCAGTTAAATAGTAATGATGTTTTCAGTCTTTCCATTCTAATGTGGGACTACCTCAATTGTTTGGTTCCTAAAAACCATCTTGCTCCTCTATGGACATCGCCCGATAGATGCGTAACCATCACTGGGTGTGCAGAGAAGTGGGCTGATTTGCTAATATAAACATTGGTCACTCTGTCTTGCAGAAGAAGGAATTTGCCAGCTGTTTCCTCAAAAACCCTGTGTGCTGGGGATTAGATCCAGCTGTCATTCCCACACCACACGGAATCAGGAGCAAGACACCAAGTAACAGCAGTCTCTCCAATTCATGCATGTGGATTTCAAGTGCAAATTTCTATATCTGCTTACCTATGCTCCTCTGGGAATAAGGGGAACCAAGTTCTCTAGAATATTCTGAACACAAGAGATCACAGTTATCCACAATAGCTGGAAGCCATTCCATGCAATGTCATAGGGGAGGGAAAAAAAAGGAAAAAAAAAAAGAAAAAGAAATCTAGGTGTGCCGTAGTAGCCAAAGAGTAACCTTGGAGCCTGATGTTCTTTTCATTAAAACGTTCACATTGCCAGGCGTATTCTCCCTAGGGAATACAGTGCACCACCACTTTGGAACCACTTAGTATCCACATTAGGATGAGGGGAGAGGGCAGTCTCTGATCAAGGTGCACATTTCAAACAGAATGAGCTCAGGCAACAATTTTACTTCCCAGAGGAGCTGAACTTACACTAGAGACTCAAGTCAATTTCCTCTTTAATATAGTTTAAAGTTTTTAAAAATAGTTTAAGCTATATCTTTTAGTGCTTCCACAGGCAACAAGCAGCACGTGTCTCTAAAGAGACTTTTGAATTTCATTAACCTGATTGATTTCTAACTCCTGTGCTAGCGATGCCTTAGGTTAACTAAGCATAGAAACGGAAAGTAATTTCTCTCTTTGTTTTCACCAGTTCATTTGGTTGGTTTGGATTTACGAGACTCACAAACATTTTCTAGACTGGTCTAGTGACCAATTTGTCACTGAATGTGACAATTCAAAACGTATATTTCTAAATGTCACCCTACACAAACCGGATATTAGTGACAGGAGTTAGGAACGTCAGGAAGGTGAAAAAAACCTAGAGTGCTGCCAGAAGCTGGTGAGGACAATATTCCGACCGGTAGTTGGACTCCATGTACAGGATGGACAAGAGATGACAGAGTTCCTTCCTCTGGGGTCCCGATATCTAATCTAGGTGTCTGAAAAATACGAAGCTTAGAGGGTACGAATGCACATGAACAAGCCAGAAGGCAGTCATGTTCTGATAGCTCAACTGCACACAAAAAAATCTGTTATTCTGATCATCCATCATTGCATGGATAAACAGGAAAGCAGGATTTGACAAAAATCAGTACATTTTATATATTGCTATATGATGTATTATTGCAGTACATCAAATAAGATATTTATTAAATTTCAAATTTCTTTTATAAGTGTTTCATTTCTATAAAGGTAMTATTCAAAATATGATTTAAAGAACAGTAAGTGAAATAAGGTAAGTAGTTGGGCAGACAGGGAAATACAAGTGAGAAAATCACAAAAYTGGTTACTTCAATAACAACTTGCATTTTGTTAAATGAATGGAATTTTGTCGCATTATGTTAAATAAACAMGGGAAGTGCAGCACAACTGTCAGCACTACGCTGCTTTATCTTGTAGATAGTTAAGATACAATAGGTTGTACAACACATTATCAAATGTGTTGATAAATGGTAAGCCCACCAAGAGGGAAAAAAAAGGCAAAAATTGCTATGCGAGTCATTCTTATAATTCACTTTAGTTTCAAATATGAAGATTCTCACTCACACTGCAGAGGACAAAAAGAAACAATGTGTTGGAAGGAAATCYCATAGTCTTTCACCATAATCTGCTACGTGTCAGAGCATAACCTCAGCAGATTAATCAACTTGTTTGTGCTCAGTATCTAAACAGGGCTTCTTGAAATGACAACACTTCCTTGAGGTCACTACAAAATACATTGTGTAACTCAAAAAAAATGAGTGGCTTCAGACCTAAATACACCTCTACTTTAAAGAAAAATTCTAGCTTTAGTGAAACACAGTAGTCAGTAATAAGAATCAGATTTATTCTTCCAAATGTAATTAAAGAACCATTGAAGTGAATAAGTCAACCATAAAGGAATGACAACCTAAAAATAAGTATAGCTGAAGTCAAATACCTATAGGACTATTTCCCTGACACTGATATGGTGAAAATACAAGACCATATGTCATTCAAGGACAGTGCAAAATCTAGCAGCATGGTGTTATCAAGTCTGCACCACCTCTAGAATCTCTCACAGAAACACTGGCCTTTCTTAACAGAACAGCCAAGCTGTGTCTTTACATGACCATCTCCCTTAATCTGGTGCAAGTTTCCATTTTCACTGACCTGCTTTAAGAAAGTCTATAAACACATTTCTTTTCTGGGTCATGCAAAGTAGCAGGCTACATTAATGAATCTAGGGGTAAAATTTAAAAACAGAAAAAGAGCAACAACAAAAAGCATTTTCTTTGGGAAAAGCTAACACAGTAGTTCAGGCCCACCAATAAGGTCTGAATGCTACTTGTGTCCAGAAAAAATGAATCCAATCATTAGTGTAGCATTATAARAGATGTAAATCAAACCCTTCTAAACCAAACCTTAAAATCTTTCAGACGATGACTTTAAATTTAAGATTCAGAATAAGCTCCTTCTCCAATTACAAGGGCTACTTAAAACACAGCCACGTCAGTTTAAAAATAAAACAAAAGTAGAAGTAAAAAAGAAGAGTAGCAGATTTTTGTGTGATAATCTTTTGTAATTTTGAATAATTGGTAATGAATACCAAAATTACCCATTTTGGTATTCATTGCGCACAGGGAGCAATGGCTTTTAAGGCTTATCAAGAGGAGGAGTTTTAAACACAAAGACTTAGTGACAAAACAAATCTCACCACATGAAATACATAGTAAAGAGGGGGTCAGCCTTCAGGATCCAGGATCTTGCTACAGTGCTATGTAAAACCAAGCATTGCACTGGTTATTTCAAGTAAATTAGAAGACAGACTAACCTGTGGCTTAAAAAGAAACTTTTTGGAGTCAGGTCAAAACCTCAGGCGGTAGCAAAGAAAAAAAGACAAACAAAAAAAGCCAAAGATTAAGCGATAGAGGATAAATTAGTAGGAGGGGGGGAAAAATGAGCAAAAACATGTTAAGAGGAATTGGCATCACACTTCTTCCAAGAATAGGATRCTGCTGCACTTCTTTCTGAGATACACAACAGGTTTTGGCATCATAACAGTTCAAAGCAAGTTACAGAAAAGCAATGGCATTGCAACTGAGCACCCCACCATCACTTCGGAAAATCCTAATGTTCTAGAGAGATTCAATTCAACTGCTGCCAGCAGCAGCTCTGTCTAGTCATTTTTCCCTTTATTAAACTTCTGTTTAGTTTAAATTGGCTTGCTATAATGACTAGTATGATGTGATAATATGGCAACATCCTGGAAAAAAGAATTATTTTCATCATAAATAAATACCAAAGAATGTACATGATATAGAGATTTACCTCTTATAACAGTCACGGATCACAAAGTCACTTGTTAAAAAAATTAACCGCTGTTCAGACAATTAATTCTAATTAGTAAGATTAAGTGCATTCACACATTTATTTACTCATGAAATGGAAGAGTTAGAAAGGACTCTGTCCATAACATACTGACCTCCTGGTACTATAAGAAAATTGCTAAAAAAGGCTTTAGATATTTTTAATTTTATTAATAAAATGTGTTTTCCTATCAGAAGTAATTTCCTTTTATAAACAAAATATCCRTAACAGTATCGGTACGCATAAACAATAAGTTAATTGAGCAACACCTTATGTTTCCTTCTTATTACCAAAACCTTATTTGCCCACCTTTAAAAAATATTTACTACAAATAGTCAYTTATATCAGATAAATACTGCTTTCCAGTTATATAAAATACACATGAATTAGTCATTTTAGTTCGAGAAACTCAATAAATCAATATTAGTTTTCTCCAATTTCATTTAGTACATTTTAAGTTCTACTAGTTCATACTCACAACAGCRGGTTAGTAGCAGTTAAGAGATGAACTGCATTTATACTGTGTTGAGGAAGTATTACGGATGAAATCGCTTAACATTAAGTAGTTAATTAAGTATTAAACTARTAAGTTAGAGACAAACTTTCCCCTCCGAGAAGCTAAATGAAAAAGCAACAATAAAGCTTACAGAACTTAGCTCGTACAATTTGCCTTGAAGGCGGTAGATTGGTTCCCTGAAATAGCAAATTACAAAAAGGAAGTTTTATTTCAGAAACATTTTCTCATTCTTTTCAACTCCAAAAAACTTACAAACACTTGTTTATTCTTTTTAAAATTAAAAGCTCAGCAAAGTCTTTTATAAAACAAGCAATCAAATCTCAAAATCTTATTTAAAACTCTCCTTCCCCCCCACCATTTCTTTAGAGAGATAATATTCACTCACAGAACTTTTCATCCCATTTGTATATTTTTGAAGAATTAGATAAATTGACTGGTTTTCCTTTTATGGGACACTCCAAAGCAATGACGGTTGTTGTGTTTGACACATGTTCCTGCACAGCTAGATAAGAAGGAAGTCTCTCCTCAGAAGGGAGCGACTAGTCTTTGAAGACATTTCAGTGTTTAGACCTTTCAATTTTCTTTTTTATTCTAGCCCAAATAGTGCATTTTTTCCAAAAACGTCAGTCATGCCGGTCAAGCTCTGGAGGACCAGCACATGCCAGACACTATGGATCATTTTGACGAATCTCTTGGAAATGAATAGCAACTACTTGGCGGGAGGGAGAGTTTGGAGTTTCTTTTCCCCAAAAGACCACTGAATTTCCAGAAGATGCAGGAATCCTCATCCACTACAGAAAAATGGGGAAATTTTCAGGAACTGCAGGTTTATCACTCCCCTACGAAATCTGAAGCATCTAAGTTCAGTAATCACATGTTGAAATTTTGACCTTTCAACTCTTCAGATTTGTTTCATCACAAGAAAACAATCAGTGGAGTAGTAAATTATGCAAAAGCTTAATGCATAGTATCTTTACACCTTTTTTTTTTTTTTTTTTTTTTTTTAAACACTAGAGTCACTTATACCATTTAAAAAATTTACTACTGTCAAAATGTTTTCTTCCTGTGCAAACTCTGCAAAACCCTGACAGGCAACAAGAACAGACTTTACACCTGTAACATTTTCATTATTTTAATTTCACATAGAAAACAAGGAACTGATCCTGTGATGTACTGAGCACCCCTGGTCTGTGCAGAAACAAAGGAAAAAGTGAAGCTCAGGAGCACTTAGCACCTTGCAGAATCAATCCTGTATCACACGCGATAAAAAGAAGAAAGAAATAATAACTTAGTGTGATTAATGCATCTCAGCAAAATCGCTATTAAATCTGAGACCACTGATCAGTTATATTCTGTTTACTTTGAGAGCATTGTATGTAGTTAACRTTTTTATCAAGTCAACTGGAAGTTTTCAGAAGAGATAAAGGCAAATCCTTTGCTTGCAAGATTGCCTCTTCACTGTTATATAAGCTGTGCACGCGTGAGAACTAGTACAATTACTGTATGACAAAGCACATACAAGCAACTACTCACCAGCATTTCGGATTCTGAAAAATCACAAGCTAGCAGTTTATGAAAAAAATACACTTAAGTGTAACATGAGAGATTCAATATACTGAATAGCATGGAAGGGCAGACTACGGTGCAAATGGTAGCAGAGTTATTAAGCAATAAATGATAACAGTAATGAAAGTCAGGTGGCTCTGAAAACTTCAGTAAAAAACAAGAGGATGATGTATCGTCTATATGTTTCAAGCAGAAAAAGTAAATTATACATTCACAAGAAGTAAATGCAGCCAAGAAAACCAAAACAGCTTGTATGAATTTGCACATGCCATAATCCATTCTCTGTTAAGTGCCTACCTGATTTCCCACTGCACTTTTGTTAACCTGACTGCTTCTTTGTTGGGCACTAAGGAAAGCAGAGGAAAAAAGTTATTCTGAAGAAACTCAAAAGCTAAACCAGTTCCTGAGCAGTAGATTTTGTCAATAAAAGTTACTTACGATTCCAGCATGGAAAGCTAGTGTAACAAAGCAACATGGCAAACTCATTACATACAAATGTATTTTTCAACTATTTTTTCTGACAGTAAAGGGTATTTGCCTGCTTATCASAGCAAAGACAGGCACAGCAGTGGCCCCTGCTAGTTATGTCCTCTGTAACTATGTCCTATTTGCCCTGGTAAAGGTTCCTAGCAGCATACGGAAGGTGTGGTTCATCTGGGGGCTTTGGAAACATTAGCCTCTACAAATATTAAAATGAGACAAAAGGCAAGGCATTATTTAGGGCAGTTCATGCACACCCAGAGGCTCTTTAGAAGCTTTGTTCTGACAGCTTGTTTTGGATATTGTTCTAACATTTACATACACTTTGTGGATCTAAATATACAACCAGTGGATGAAGCCGTCACAAAAGCTGGTTTAAGAAGCTGGAATCTTAAAAGAATGGACCATATTTGAAATTAAAACATATTCAGAATATTTTACCCAGTTCTTGAACTCTGGTAATTCTTATTCCTGAATCAAAATACACTCCTATTTCAAAAGCATACAAGTTTCTGTTAATTCTAAAGGCATTTGTGTTATGTGATTTGTGTTAGACCACACTATCAAAATATTAGATCAGATTGACAGTGTTTTTTTTTGGACAAGATTATACCATTTCAGTGAGCATTAAATAATTGGGAGGGAAAAAAATATAAATATATATACACACTAGATTCACTACCAACACTACGAAAAACTAAGAGCTGTGCTTGAATGACAACCTGCAGGCCAAATCCTGCAACTGTATTCTCCCTGACAAGCCCAGATCTGTCCCGGCTCCGAACCTGCATTTAAGAGGGCACCACCCTAACACATGAGCAAGCCACTCRCTTTCAGTGCCACCACGACTGCTACATGTCCCTGTTTGAAGGGCTTTGCTCTGAGTCACCCAGCCACTTGGGACCAAATTACACTGCAGGTCTCCAGTGCCTCATGTGGACTGCAGAAATTACAGTGCAGAAATTACAGTTAAATGACCTGCACAGAGAACACACTAACCCTGCACCAACACTGACCTGTTGTTCCAACAACACGTACAATATTGTTTAAGAAATTGCCCCTCTTCTGGGTTGTTCTCTCTCTGCTGCCTTAGGGAAGCTAACCGAACAGAGAGCTGGTGCCATATTGAGGAAGTCACTTCTTTGAAGCAAAGACCAGCAATTAGTCCTTTATTCACTGTCCTAAATACAAATTACTCTTCCTGTAGATTGAAGCATGTAGCTATGTTTGGCTTATATCAACTGCAAATAAATTCAGTCATAACATTTTACCATGTACTCTGCTAAACAAGATGAACGTTAGTATCCCTTTATTTCAGAAAAGTAAATATATGTCCTTATAATTATCTTAAGAGCAAGATCATTCTAAATATTGGCATTCTTAGATCATTTTAAGGTCAATTCTCATTCTACTGTACCTGTCTTTGGCCCTGCAACGCTGCAAAGTATTTTGACATGTCTTGAGCTCTCTTTCTTCCCTGTGAACATGGCTAACAAACCTCTAAAACACTGAAATAACATAAGACAACTGGCTGGGAGGTTCAAGAAAAAGAAATGAAACAGTAAGACATCTCAGGAGACTATAGTCTAGGATGTTTAGATAGTGCAAAAATCTGTAAGCTACTGGTTCTAATATAAAACCATTGTAAAAATAAYGTGATTATAGTTAAAAAATGTGCTTTCTACTATTTAGTTCATCAACATATTTTAAATTTTAAATTGTTCTTAGCTATCCAAGCTTCATCTTCCAGTTGAGCACACTTCAGTAGAGATACTTGCATTTCCATCAGTTTCCACAGAAACTCTTCCTTAAACTTAGCATGTGCAGTGAACTTAGGTGGAGTGTCACTTGTTGTCTCTTTTGCCTCTCACACAGGGGCTGTGAATTTCTAGGCCTGAACTGGAAAAAGGGGGAAGAAGCTCTCCATGAAACTCAAGTTGAACATTGCAGCTCCTTGGAAAAGATGCAGCAGCAAAGACCACAGACTGAACTATATCCCACGGCAGTAGCTGTCATAAAAGGTTCTTCCAAGGAGAGATACAATTACACAGCTCCAGATAACCCCGCCAGTCCATGYTCCAAGGCTATACGGCAGGGGAGCTTCCAACTTGACATWACAAAAAACAACAACAACAATTCCCAGTGAGGATAGGCAGGCATTGGAACAGGTATTTTTCCCTAGAGAGGCTGGGGATTCTCTAGTTTGGGACGTTTTCAAGATCTGACTGGAAAAAAAAAAAAATCTCTGTACAAGCTGGTAGGAATTTAACAGTGACCATCCTCTGAGCAGGAGGTTGGACTAAATGACCTCCCAGGTTCTCTTGAACCTGAATTATGATTCTATATGCTGTCTGTACACATACCCAAGTATATAGTACATACATGGAGTGTTTTTAGTAGGCTTTTTCCTGTTAGAAAAGGATGAAGTGTAATAAATAGCTGACAGGTTGTTATCCTGATCTCTAGAAGGTCAGCTACTATTCCTACAACATCCTGTCATTTTTCAGGAGAAGTGATAAAGGTATCTAGGATCTGCAAACAATACCAGAGAAGTTGGTTCAAGCCAAACACACAAACAGCGCCTGGCTGCGTCCAATTCCATCTTAGATTACTTGATTCCATATTTTAATCCTTCACAGTATACTGCCAAAGGCCTTCCACAGTGCCATCTATAAAAGGTCGTAGAATAACACATACTGTGGTGCCAGAGTTAGTTGCTAACATCACACACACAGACAAAACCTGCTGTCATAAGTGTCTGAAGTCACAAATATGGCATGAACATGACTGAAGAAACATTTATTCTTCAAGGAGTAAAGACATCTCTAACATTTTCACTAACATCAAAATGTTTCTACAAAGTCCCTGAGACTGRCCTTCCAGCTTGCTGGATGCCAGAGTATTCTAGAGAATATTCTCAGAGTCTTTCCAATTAAGTGAGGAGAACTGTCAAATCAATCCCTGGAGGGCATTCTGAAACTATTTTTCCTCTACAGCCAGCAGGCACACAAATTCTGCAACATCTATTACCCTCAGCAACACTGTTCCAGATACCGTTGCATAGGTCCCAAAGCATTAATAGGTAGCAGTGTGGAAAGACCGCCAAAATCTGTGGTCCCAAATGTCTGTGGTCCTCAAATGGACCTAGTGAGGGCACAAGGCCTCCAAAGCTGCTTCCAGAGATTCACATTACTCCAGACCAAGATACAAGTTTGACTTCCAAGTGAAAGCACGCATGTGAGCTGAGGAACAAAATCCCGCTGTAAGTACAAGTGTACAGAGTTCAGGACTGTATATACTGAGAAAGAATGTCTCTACTACCACACTTCAAATYTGGGGTCAAATTTTGGACTTAGTTAAAAAAAAGTACAACAGTATCATATAATGGAGTCCATATATACATACTTTGCAAAGCCAATGAAGTCTTCATGGTTGGTGTTGATGTAAGATACCTGGATATCAATCAACAGCAATACCTATAAGGAGAGAGGGGAGACCAGTAAGAGGGTTGGGGATGGGGTGAAGAAAGATTGAGGAGAAAGGAGAGAAGAAGAGAACTTTGAGTTTGCTGCATTACTGAATGTTTCATGAGTATTCAAGCTGAAAGACACATTTCCTAAATCCCACAGCTTCTGAATTTGCGTTTGTATAATAAGGTAGTCTACAGAAGAGCAATTCCCATTCTGCTGTCCTTTTCCTGCAGACCAATTTTACCTGGGAGGATGTTGCTCATTTTGTTAAGATTAATTACACACAGGCAGAAGAGTTTAATAAAACGCAGCAGAGGCTCAAGGAAATAATTTAAATGAAACTTCACAGTCTAACTAGCCAGCRAACTTGATAAGATACTGGAGAAAGCTCACTCCATTCCACACTTGAACAGTTTCTTGAACATGCACAATATGAAGGGAACTAAGACTGCAATTTCTCCACTGTCTTTTCAGTCTTTTACTTCTCAGCAGGGAGCAGCGAAAAACCCTAATCAATCACCACCACAGAGTCTCCAAATTTCCTAAGAAACCTGTCTGAACACATAAGAAAAGAGAAAACCTTCTAGCATTTTCTCCTATTTAAAGCTTCATAACCAGGACTAATAGTATAAAGTCACATAATTATGTAATCCTGTTCACATGCTGACTGTGCCTCAGCATTATCAGTAAATTCTATTGCCAGACTATGGTGAGCAAGGGCATTTGGATGGATATGCCTCAGTTGTGAAAGTAAGTTTTATTTTGATAAAATATTAAAGCAATGACCACTTCATGAAAATAGAACGCTCTATCCATGGATAAAAATCCCACCAATTTGCTTTCAATTTGAAGCCCCAATTCCTAAATGCCTTACTGGGCCTTATCAAGGCATCATGCTGCTGTGTTTTTGAATAAGACCTAAGCATTAGACAATAAGCTTGCCTGGATTCTTTTCTTCAGCATCTGATCTCCTCAAAGCACACACAGTTATTTCTATGCAGCTCCACAAATATGGCATCACTCCCAAATTCTTCAGCATTTCCAAAAGACACGAAGACCCTCACACCAAGCAAAGACAGGGAGGATTTAACATCTAGTTCTTACCTCTCAGAAATGTCTCACTATCGTTTTGATTTATACTGTTAGCAGCTATTGTTAATCAGTAATTATATGAATGTGACAATAACTTATTTGACCAATTCTTGGCATTTACATAAAGCTGGTAGCTGCTCCCTGAAGCAAACTTAAATATTTAAAATTACTTTAAAGACTATTTTCACAGCACAGACGAGGAGAAAAGAAGCAAGACATGCTGCACAGCTCCCCAGCTTGCACAGGAACACAACTAGAGAGCCAGGAGCACAGAACTATACAGGGGTTCTGCCTACCCCTGCTTCTCCTAAATATTTCTGTTAACCAACTCTGTACTCTCCAGACCATAATTCCTGCTTCCACTTCCAGTAGATTTTCTCACATGCAATCTAAGCTTTGAACATTCCTGGATCTGAGTGCTTGGCTGGTTGATGAATGTTCTTAGAGGGGTTGCTCTGAATAGAACTTAAAAATACTTTAAGAGTTCAACTTTCAACAGTCAGAAGAGCAGTATTYTCAAGAACATGGAAAGTTGCTTTCTGTGCTTTTCCCAAGTATGTAACCTGGCTAGGAAGGGATGCGTGTGTGGAATTCCTTCACTATCTTAATGTACTTTGAATGGAAGAACTCCTCTAACATAGCACAAACGTTCTCCAGGAGAGTCCTTCTACACACATTTTCTCAAAGAAATGAATCTCTTTATTTATTCTCACCTGATCCTTGGTCTTCTCTTCTCTTTCACGGATGTAGCCAGCAACAATTCTTTCTGTTTCCTCACATAGCCTTGGATAGGTTGCTAGCTAAAAAGCAAAAAGAATAAGAATTTACACCTTCAGGGTGCCTTTAGCAAAGTACAGACAGGGGAGTCTCCAGCTTTTCTGTTCAAAAGAAAKCAAGTGTTATATATGCTGGTACTAAATAAAGTCTACTACATTACAAACTAAGCCTTATTTGCTAGCAATGGTGACTTTTGAATAAAACCTGGAGAGATGTAAACCCTTGGATTGTTTTTGCACTATGGAGCATTCAAGAAGAGAAGGATGATTCTGCAGGTGTGAGGGTGTGAGTCTTTCTAGACTTTTTTTTTTTTTTTTTTTTAATAAAGCAACTGCGACACTGGAATCCTAATATTTTCAGCTCTTTTTTTATGTCTGGATATGAAGTGAATCTCTCAAAAAGAAAAGACAGAGGCTGATCCATAAGGAAGAAATAAAGATGTCTATGGAATGACCATACTTCAAGCTCTGTAAAATGTTAAATATTTATCTAACTTGATTTTCTATAAAATGGCCTCTTTAAACGACCCTAGAATCAAACCAAGTTGCCATAGTCTGGTCAACCCCACCGCACAGCAGTGGGACACTCCAAACGCAGGTCTAGGATTAGAGTTCAGAAAGTCCTTGCAGGYTTCACACCACCATGCAAACTGCATGAGCCCTGAATGAACCGATGTGATGGACAGACATATAGAGAAAAGGTATCAACATATATACATACACACACACACACACTATATATATAAGTATATCCATGTGTATGAAGCACTGCCAATACAAAGTTCCACTGAAGTGGCTATGAAGGTACAAGTTAGATTTTTCTCCCAAATCTCTGCATCCTGAAAGGTGGGACTAATAGCACAGTAAAAAAGCTCAGCACAAACAGTCAACCATTCTAAGAAAGGGCCAACATACCCCAAGTAAAGTATATTTTACCTGGCTATGCAGAAATCACAAAACATGGGCACAGATACAACTCCTAAACAGTAAGTGCATGCTAAAAAAATGCTATATTGCAAGAGCACTAGCTCAAGTGCCACCGAGTGTGGCACACTTTATCATACCCACAGGCAAAGCCCAGTTTAACAGTCTCGTGTTGAGGGAACTCCACAGTTCTATTCTCCTGTGCCTTTTGTGCTTGAATTTCCAAGTGTCATTCTTTGAAGGCTCCATCTTGTGGCAATATCTYTACCTCTCAAGCATGGCACTTTTTAAAAGTGAACAGCAAAACYGTCCCAGCTACTTTAGCCCCAGGAAAAGAATCTGCACAATTAATTCAAATGACCAATCTTCCAAACTGGCAAAAGTGAAAACTCTAAAAACTCAGCTCAAAATATTGAAGCATGTGCTTCTTGGTGATCTTTCCCACAAGTCTGCCATATTTTCCTGGTTGCAAAAAAAGCTTCTTCAGTGGCTCATTGGTACAAGAAAGCCATCAGAGGACAAGGCAGAATATTTCTCAACAACCTCAGCAGACCTGTGCTCACAACCTAGACCTACTCTTAGGGTGACCTGTATTCTGAAATGGTGGGAAAAACACAAGAATAAGAGAAGGCAAACCAGAAATATAACCAGACCGTTGAAGTCTCCCCGAGTCCATGACGTATACTCAATTGATTTCTGATGACTGCATTCTGTCAGCCTTGTGTCTCTCAAATCCACATCTGACATTCTTTAGTCATAGCTGGGGGTTGGAGAGGGAGAGAAGGGCTTTGTTCTAAAACCATAAACCCAAGCACACACTTCAAGAAACCCCTTCTCAGATATTAATAGCAAAGCTATGTTTAGTTTTAATAAACTGACTTGTTAGTTTATTATATTTGTGGAATCTTGAGCTATATTTTCATTGATACACACCACTTYCACATCCAGAGTTCAATACACAACAGTTCTTCCTACTTAGGAGTGTGACATTTCCATGCAGCAAGCTTCCACGCATGAACACAAGAACATGAACAAGTAGAAGGGAGAAGAAACCTTCCTAGTATTCCACTTCCACAGTTGGAGAATGGAAGTTTTAGGCTTATGCATGAAGAAAGCACAGGATAAGTTTAGTGTCCCCCTTACTCAAAGAAATGTAGTGCTACTTGGTAAAATTTCATCACAGACAAAGCATTTTCTCCTCAATATATTTACTCTGACTACATCTGAGGCCTTTGCTCCACAAAGGTTTCATGGTTTCTTCCTCTTACTTGCATCATAATAATAATAATAATAATAATAATAATAATAATAAACCATACATTTAGAGCACAACGCTTTTCCTCCGATTTACACATGGGCAGAACGGCTGCCTACGCTCCATTTGCAATACCAATGAGAACAGGGTTATAACGAGGAAAGTAAGGGCAACAGATGACTCAAAAAATAAAACCCCAACCACCACATACGTAGATTCAAAATACAGGAATCAAAAAAATYAACATTTTCAGCACTACATTATTTTGGGTATTGCAGAAGTCCTAACTGCTTTAGTATCATCTTAATCTCTTCAGTAAGTGTTAGATATGAAATAATATCATAAAACTGTGAAGAGGCTTTTCTGTTATAATATTCCATACAAATCTATTCGGCAATTTACCTTTTTAGTGCACTTCTTGACAGTGTTGATCAACTCTTGCATCACCAGATCCACACTTTTTAAGCAAGGTCCTTTCAGCTTCACTATCTGTTTTTTAACAATAGCCTCAAATGCCATGTCTGGAGTAAACAAACCTGTTCTGTGGACATAACAGAATATGTAAGGCATTAACACTAATATATGAAAATAATATTTTCTACTGAACTGCTCATATCTTCAGATAATTAACCAGTTTAACGAATACCTTTCGAATGGGTCCTTCAGTGTTAGTCCTTTACCTTGGCCTCAAATAGTCACTTACCCTCCCCTTTTGGAAAAAACAAGGTAGTCTATTATAGATTATTTCTTCTGACAGAATACACTAGTGAAAGAAGGTAGAAATAGGTAAGAGATGATTTGGAGAATATTTGCATTTCACCAGTTGTCAGGTAAGAGGGTATTTCATAGCCACAAGGTCACAGGACCTAGAGCTCTCCAAATCACCTTGCTAACATTTCCAGCACAGCCTTTCCTATGCAGGTAACAAGAACTTTTTCCACAACACTAAGAGGCAAAATAGTGTAAGCAAGAATTTCAAAAGAAACTAAATGCTCAGAAGTGGGTGGAGGGGAAGAAAAATCCCCAAAGTCGGGCCTTTTGGAATATGTTCTACATCTTAAAGGACAAAAACAGCTAAATAGACATGGATCTGAAAGTCCCTACTGAACAGACATTCCAAAGAGATAAGGAGACTCTTAGAGCAAAAACTGCATATGTACATGGACGGGGGTGTGTGTGTATATGTGCATATATAATATATATATATACACACACACAAAAAAAAGTGTGTGTATATATGCATATATACATTGTTTTTACTATAGATTATATATAAAAATATATATATAATAAAGAATAATACAAAGATAAATAATTTTTCTGCAGTAGGTATATGAATGAATTCCATCTAGTCTATTTGAGTAAAATGAATTAAATCTAATCCAGTTAATTAAACAATAAGAGAGAACAGGCAGGCAGAAGCTCTTATTTAATGCCAGAAGGGGGAGCTGCAAGCTTTCACCTGTCAGAAAGGCAGCAASAATCAGGCAGATGTACATTCAGAGCCAAAAATCAGACTTTGCCAGCCTACTGTTGGTGMGTGCCACATTTTGATTTGTCTTGCTCTACATGAGGTTTACGAATGATACAATGGAAGAAACTTTAATAGGGGTCTGACGATTTTGTTCTCACAGTTCATACGGCCATAACACCACTCAGACACAGAAACATAAACAGGAATTATAGCTTCCTTTTATAAACCGGTGAGAATTACTTCTGAAAAGCATTCTGAGGTAAAAAGTGGAAAAAGCCTAAGGAAACGGCTTTGCAGGGCACTGCTTAAGAACTACCATGTTAATAAGCACCCAAAATAGCTAGAAGTATAGGTTGTACTAGTAGAAAATATTTGAGGTGATGTTAGTTTAATATCCAGACACATCTGACACTGAAGGAGCCAGGGAAAAAACAAACATCTTTGACATCTAACAATCATACCTAATAGTCAGGCTTTGAAGCAGAACTTCACTCAACTGTAACAGTCATAATATCCCAAATTCCAGTAGCATTCCCAACAGACTAACATGTCAAGTTTTAAATGCCATCACATGTGGCCTCTGAACTGGTGTTTCATTATTTACTTTCTAGACCTTTTCTGACTTGTCCACAGAGCTTGTGTACTATCAAGCAAAATTATTTCCTTTTTTTTCCCCCCCCCTCTTTTAAAAAATCTTTATAAGAGAAGATCAAATTTCAGTATAGAAACTAAAAATTTCCCACATGAGCTACTACGTTAGCTTTCCCAAAGCCACAGGCATTATTATGAAGGAACACAGTTTCGGTAAAGGTTTTGTTCTCCTTCAGTGATGTCCACCATGCATCCAAAACTTGATATAGTATTTGCAGCTGATACTGAATTTAACAGATAGGGTAATTAAAAGATAGCTAAGAATTGCCCCAYTATGAATGCAGACTTTCAAACAGTTGCAGAAATCCTGCAAATCCTGTATTATATCAGAAGTTAAAAATTACGTACTTTAGCAGGAGCAAGAAGCCTTACCAAAGTGTGAAGGTTTGGAGGAAAAGAAGTCAGGTGCTGGAATCAGTGAGTTTGTAACTTGGAAAAGATAGCAAGTATGTCCAAAGACTAAAAAACACACACATGTGTATGAGCCTGTAAGCATGGGAGCACTTGCCTGATACCATGTATGTTCTTGATTGCATAACTTATTTCTCTCCGCAGTTCTTTCTCATTGAATTCCATCTAAAGAAACAAAAAATATTTGAGATCATATTAAAGATAGCTCTTAAATAAAATAGAAAATACTACTTTTCCCAATATAACTACAAGACAGACAAATGCAATTGGCAAAATACTCATTTCTAACTTATGCTAAACATGAAACAAAATTATTCTAAAACATTTTAACACTAAGGCTACTGGCAGCACCAAAGACCATTGCAAATTATGCACCCTTCCAGACACACTAAAGGATGGAATGATTTTGCAGAACACCCCAAGAGAAACATGAGATAACACGGTAAACCAAAATATTGGAAAATGCAAATTTTCAAGTCTGATTTCTTAGAATTTGCACTGCTTTATGATTATGTTCTCTGTTTATTCTCTCCTTCCCACTCTACTCTTTTTTAAACCAAATTTGAGAGAGTAGTAGTCTATGAAATACCCATAATTTTTTGGCACCTTAGCTGTCAAGAAGGGAAAGATTCTAGTTAAATTGAAATAGTTTTTGAACAAAAAGGTTATTATTTAAGCCCATCATGTATCTGTCCAGCTGCCCTTCTAACTAATCAATACATTTCCATCTTGGAAACAGTCACGACCTTGTCTTTGTCCAGCTGAAAGTTGGGGAGCTGACCAGGGAGCTGGTCAATCACCTSGTCATCAAGGGAGCTGACCAGGTGAAAAGGAAGCTTAAGGAACAAATTGCAGAAGAAAGGGGGACTAAAAATACAATGGGGGACAAGGTGAGGGSATGCTGAAGTGAACTGAACAAAAACAAAAGGTGAATGTACATATAACCCAACATATAACCATAGGAGATCGGTTTTCATTAGTTCACAGAGTCCACTGAACATCAGCTTAGTGTTAGCCGAGGGATGAACAGGTAAGGGAAGATATAATGGAGGCAGGATGGGGTAGGGGAAGTAGACTCTGAACAGGAAATTTGCTTCTCTCTCCCTTCCCATCATAAAAACATGAGAATTAAAACTTTGTTTTACTCTCAGAAGACAAAAAGCCAAAAAATGGCTATTTTCCACAACTCTCATTTTAATATAGTCTAGCTAACTTGTACAGAGCAACCTCAATCATAACAACTACAGTTGCGTCCCTGCTCCATCTAAGCAGAATGAAGATGCCAAAAAAAGAATTGAAAAACAAGCACACACATACACTCACATAAAAAGACAAGGAAAACAGTAGGAACTGAGACTACAGTTACAATCTAAATATTGTATCTTGCAATTCTTAGCAAGAAGTATCCAAATTATTATTTAGTGTAATTTATTCCCAATGAAGCCTTCTTTGTTTTACTTCTATTAATATGCATGTAAAACACACACATATAAAACTCAAAATACACAGGAAGATAAATACCTTCACCAGTTCAAAAGGAAAGCGTTCATGGAAAATACGATTGATTTTCGCACCTCCTGAGAGCTCTAATGTGTCAACCTGATCTCCTGATCCTTCGATTCTTTTTTCAAAGTCCACTGAAAATTGTTGGACCATCCTAAATTTCAAAGGTGGGAAACAAACAAAAACACTTAAGCATGTCAGCTACCAACCCCATATTTCAGTACCATGTGACTACTATTGCTCAACTAAAATATGTCTGGGAGTTGACAAGAAGATCAACAGTTATAACCATTCATTCATTCAAGTTGTCCATGCAAGGTGCTGTTCTACTCACAGTCTTTGTAAATCAAATCTTCTACATCTGCACAATTCTCACTCCCCATGGAATACAGATTATGATACTACTTGCTTTCTTTGTATTTTTAAATATTTTTATGAAACTACATGCTAAAGTCAACTATAAATATGACAGGGTACCACGTTACTTCCTGATTTTATTAGTGATGACAAAGCTGTAAAGGTTACAAGCATCTATTACATACACATTTTAGAAAAAAACAAACAATTGCAATCTCTGTAGTAGGATAAGCAAATAAAAATCTTGGTTTAAGCTAACACAATTTATTTTGATAGAAAAACACACCCACACTGAGATGCTATTAAAAAAAAAAAAAACTCAAGGGGTAGGCAAAAACGGTCAGTCTCAGGATAACATGTATCCTTTGAGTAGAGCTCATTTCTCCACAGTGACCCTTTGGACATTGGGTCTTCCTCTGGAGCGGAAGAAAAGCCGTGTTGTAACAGGTGCTTAGGGAAAAGTCCAAACTGGGGACAAGCTTACAGTGTCCAGCTTACATTTCTCCAGCTGCTCTCTTGGCCTCAATAAGTTGATGTTTACAGGTTCCATATAGAGAAATGTCCTTGTGCTTATTAAGCTTAAATATTTTTCACATTCCCAAGAATTTGCCTAGCTGCTTTCTGAAAACACACGGGTTGTTAGAATCAGCTTCTGCAGCATGGATTCCTGTAACTTAAGCACCCATCATATGAAGAACTACCTTCTGCAGTTAACTTTAAACTTGCTATCGCTTGAGATCTTTCAGATGCTCAAGTTCCTATACTGGGGAAAAAAACTTCCTTCCTCAGCCTCATCGCCGTATAGATTTGTAATGCAATCTCATCCCTTGGCCTGCAGCCATTCTTTATGCAAGCTCAAGGATCTGCCTGTGCAATCAGAAACAGATTCTGACCTTCGATCACCTATGCTGCCAATCTTTGCATCTTTTCCTATTCTACTTCATCTCTTTTATATGACTATTAAAATTAATTTAGGGAAAACCTTACCAAAAGATTAAGTAGCTAAAGATGTTAAAAAATATATACATATATATATTTATATTTTGCTACTATTATATATACAMATATGTATATACACCAAATATGCTATTTGGAGCTCGCATATAATATCCTTGATCAAAGCCTTGATCAAAGATTAAATATAAGCAGTTAGAAAGGTAAAACAAACAAATTTTACACATCGGATAAGAAAATTAAAAGTAGTCACTCACTGCAGCAGGGCTTTAGTTTTTCTGGTTGGATCTTCTGGTCTGAAGTTTTTGTACACCTCTACTTCATGTTCTATAGAAAGCAGCTGGCCCTGGAGTTTGCTCCTGAAGCCTGGCAAGGTGTCTCGAATATGATTGGTAAGTTGCTATAAATAAATAAATAAAAGACCCTTTATATTCTAAATGCAGCTGAAAGGAAAAGCACAGCCATTTCCTTCTGACTTATCAACCATGAACTGTGTTTCTTTTTGGTCTTCGTAGCAGTGGAGACTGTTAAAGAACAATACATACCCTTTCATGGATATATGGAAACTTGAAAAATTTCTTGGTCCTCTTGTGCGCTGGGCCCTATTACTTCCTAGACTGATCTATTTAAATCACTGCTATTATTATACAGGCATCAGTAAAGGCATCGTATCTAACATTCCCTTGTGAAAAAGGCTGCAGGAAAGCCAAGTTGCTGCTCAGCTGGTGCTGGATGACTCCTTTACAGCAGAAGGCAAGCCAAAGAAAGGGACAGACTCTGAAAATCGACCGCTACTTCAGAAGGGTGATGGAAGGAAACACAGAAGCACAGAGTACCTTCTTGGGACTCTCACCATTAAGAAATGTCACCACCATATTATTTCTGTTCCCTTCTACAGAATATACTAAARGAGAAAGAGAGTTTTCCTTCATTAAGATTGTAGCATTTTAGCTTTTCGAAACAGTTCTTTGCCTGAAAAAAGAAGTTCTAACTTCTCCTTCAAGAGTATCAATTTTCAATCCTGAAAAATATTCTGAAAACACTATATCTCACTTGTGCTGTAAATGCTCCATTTGAACAGTTTCCTGATTAAAAACAAAATAAACTTGCAACTTATTGCAAACTCTCTTCTCTCCCCAGGCCCCATTCAGGCAAGCAATGAACGAAGGATATTATATACTGAAATCCTTAACCTCAAAGAAAAAGTTACTCCCTGGAGCACCACCTTGTGGATACAGAGAAATTTAAATTTCACCTGAAACCACAAACCTTAACAGGTATTTAGTATCTCAGGGATGACACTTGCAAAGTTTCTCTCACCCATAACATTCTCCATACAGTGGCAGACAAACACATAGTCTTCTACCAGAACGCAAACAGTTCATACTGGAATATTTAAATGCATAAAACAGCTCATAAAAACCTCAGTTATTTCAGTCTCAAAAATAAGATGTATTAAGCATTTAGTATATAATAAAAAAGCAAAACATTCCAAGTGCAGCTGAGTTCTTGCACTCTGCTGAAAAGTTATTTCTGCAGCACAAATAAATGGCATTAGTATTCTTTTCACATTAATCCACAGAATATTTCATCTCTACTGTCAAGGTACACAGCCGCAAAGTCACTGTAGCAAGAAATTAAGCAGAACAACCACTTAGCTTTGCTCCTCTGAATAAATAATACTGTATCTCTGCTGCTCCTAACTTCTGTCAGACTGACAGATTCAGGTAAATCTGATCTCTGCTTATCCGAGAGCAAAGGCCACAGCTCGACAGTGAACTGGAGAAAACAGTCTTAGGAAGTTTGACTTGTAGGAATGCCAAGAACACAATCTGATCGTTTCAAATAAATCATACTGCATTATCAAGTACTTTAGGAAGATGTGCATGATTTGATCTTGTCCTCCTCAAACTTGCTATGAGGTTCATCACCTTAAGGCACACACTACCTATGTTCGCACTACGTTGTCTGTTGCTCAAACAGACATTTGGAAACTAGATGACTCAAAAAGGAGTCAATAGGATAGCTAACTGCAACATGACAGTGTGGAATCCTTCTTAAATAGACACTCTGATCATGCTTGCCTAGAGAACAGGCTACTCGTAGCATCCCAACCAATGCTAAATACAAATGAATAGGTTTGGGCTTTAAAGCAAGATTAATAGACACACTATATTTTTTGTTACTATCTGCTAGCGAGATTAATAAGCTTGTCAGAGGAATGGMATCAGGAATCATGGACACAGGGCATATGTGTCTCTCTCAGAGCAAACTTTCATGACCTACAGACCTCCTTCAGAAAACTTGAGTACCYGAGACTAAGATTTACTGCCTCTAGAGCTCCACTTTGCGGAGAACAACTCCTGACACGAAAGTGCTGTTACCAGTCTACTGCCTGGTGGTTTTCTTACTGATGGACACAGAACTCTCATCCATCAATGATCCCTGACTCCTAGATCTCGCCCAACTAACAAAAAGAGAAACATCTAATAGTGAAGATTATGTACTGGCACTGTCTTGATGAAAAAATAAGTAACAGGACTCTCCTCAGCTAAACGGGAAACAGACTTCTCTATTTCCTACTAGAGGTAGCAGTGATCTGACATTTTCACATCAATTTTTAAGACCAGGTCTTAAATTACAAGGAAAAAGGTARTACGAACAAAGTGCTCTCATAACTGTATGTCACCTACATCAATAGCATATGGTGCATTGTTTCTGCTAAAAACAGAACAAAGTGTAGATCATAAAGTTAAAAATTAAAAAAACCAAACACAGAAAACAAAAGTACAATATYAATAGCTCATTGCTTCCCAACAAGTTTTCTAAGATTGTAGTAAGCATGTCCACATTATTTTATTGCAATTGTAACTGGWGTTATGGCCTAAGGTTCAGTCCGAATTAACTGCGAGTTAAACAAGCAATTTCATTTCCAAAGCYTAATGTAATATATTAAAAACACTTCAATTATGTTGCAGAACTTCTAGATCTGAGAAACTACAGTCATAAAATACAGTGCTATTTATGCCTAGATCATAAGCAAGCAAATCTGAACAATTTCTTTCATTCTTGAGCAAAAAAAACTCATATTTACTCTGAAGAAAGCAGTATTTAAATGTGATGGTAGTTGCCATCCTTGCTAACAGGACAATTATTTTTATTGCTATCAGACAATTATTTTAGCTCTACACTGACAGGAGCCTGAATATTAGACCCTCTACTTCTCACAGGGAATTTGCATAAGCCACATGTAATAAACAGCTTTGTTTATTTCATTATGAAACTTCAAAAAGTTAAAGGAAGGAAATAATAAGTCAGGTTCATTGACGCACTTGGCTTTTAATAAGATTTTTTTTTATTATTGTTTCTATCATTATAAAAGCTGTCTTTCACCATGCACATCTCAGCTTTTACCTGGTTTAGAACTTTCTGGAGATACGGTGTTCCCATCCGATCTGCCATATGCCGGTATGCGGGGTGTGAAAGAAAGAATTTCCTTTCTGCTAGGAGAGCTGCCTTGATATCCTTCTTCCCATCAATGTCTTTCTGGCTTCTGTTTACAACACCAATATAACCTAAAACAACAGAAAACCAAAGAAATTCAGGTATTGTAGAAGTACTGCAATAATTCAATGATGACTAAATCATTGATTCAAATACAGTAAGAACCCAGTTCAACATATTCCTAGACTGTTTTTTGTGTTACAGGATAAGGAGATAGTCTCRTTAGTAAAGTGTAATTAGAATCAAAATTCTTGACACTGCTAAAAGCGCAAGTGTCTGTGACAGTAGCTGGAGGAACAATCACATAGAAAATATCTGAAAGGGGCAAAACTTGGTTTAAAATAAAGTTACCAGAGCTCTGGGGCTCGTTTCCAGGATACATAGGGAAATAGCGTCTCTTTTGGCAAGCCAGAGCAGCTTAGCACAGAAAAGATTTGCTTACTACTTATTCTGACATTATTTGCTCCTGGAATGGCCTATTTACAGCACCTATTTTCTTGGTCCAGTAAAAGTGTCTTTTAATTATTCAATATTTGTCCATGACCTCCTATTATATTTGCTGTTTAAATAACGATAAGAACACTGCAACTCATTAAGACCTAGGTAGCCTTTGATTCACCTTAGGAACCGTTTTGTACACCACTCTGACCCAAATCATTGTCTATGTTATGTAGAATACAGACAGCTGAACATTCTCACCTCTACGAAGGGGGAGTAGTTTGTTTTCTAAAATTTCTCTTGCATCTGTTCCTTCATCCATTAGATCCAATTTTGTGATCACGCCAATGGTCCTAAGGCCTGACCGGGGTGGGGGGAGAGAAAGATGACAAAGGATCAATGATAGTCAGAAAGGTCAATTATATCTTAGAATTCCATAATACTTATTAAAAATGTGGTATTCTCAAAGCATGCATCACGCACAACACCAGGCAAAGCTGCAAGGTGGGAAGTGCCAGAAAAGAGATCATTTCCCTTTTGAAAATGAAGAAATACATTCTTCAAATCTCTTTAAATAGATTCTGCATTCCCATGACACTACTGTATAAAATTCATGATAAAGTAGCCAGAAAACCCATTGGCATCAAGGGCCAATTGCCAACAGCTTTTGCGAGCTGTTACAAAAGTTATTTAAAAAGAAAAAAGAAAAAAGAAAAAAGAAAAAAGAAAAAAAAAAACAATTAAAGAAAATCAACTTTGCACCAACCTCCCAATTATGCTGAGCTAACAAATGACTATTTCGATGAGGGCCATACGAGAAGGCATACACAGATCTATATCATAATATATAAGCAGTAAAACATATAATAGTTTTAGTTATTACATATTTCCATTTATGTTACTAAAGAACAAAAAACAGCTGGACATTCTCTCATGCTTCACCTTGAGGGTCCACTTCTTTAGCTAACTTCAGCGCATCTGAGTTGGCCAGATCAGTGTTAGCTGGAGTCACRGCCAAGATCAGGCAGTTCTCCCGAGAGATGAACTGCATGATCATCTCTCTGATTTGATGCTCAATATCTGCAGGTTGATCCCCTACCGGCACCTTAGTGATTCCCGG